AAATACAGAAAAATAATTAGTATAAATATCAAAATGCTCTCCTCGAATATGATACTAGACATACCCAGCTACATTCTAGACGAAAATTCGATATTCTCAGGCGATGTGTGTGGCTTCCCGAGTCGGGCGGAACTGCCAAGAAAAACGTTGGGACTAGTCTCCAGAGCGAAAAGACGCGGTTTTCGGTGCCAGGGGCGGGAATTTAGAAAAATACAGAAAAATAATTAGTATAAATATCAAAATGCTCTCCTCGAATATGATACTAGACATACCCAGCTACATTCTAGACGAAAATTCGATATTCTCAGGCGATGTGTGTGGCTTCCCGAGTCGGGCGGAACTGCCAAGAAAAACGTTGGGACTAGTCTCCAGAGCGAAAAGACGCGGTTTTCGGTGCCAGGGGCGGGAATTTAGAAAAATACAGAAAAATAATTAGTATAAATATCAAAATGCTCTCCTCGAATATGATACTAGACATACCCAGCTACATTCTAGACGAAAATTCGATATTCTCAGGCGATGTGTGTGGCTTCCCGAGTCGGGCGGAACTGCCAAGAAAAACGTTGGGACTAGTCTCCAGAGCGAAAAGACGCGGTTTTCGGTGCCAGGGACGGGAATTTAGAAAAATACAGAAAAATAATTAGTATAAATATCAAAATGCTCTCCTCGAATATGATACTAGACATACCCAGCTACATTCTAGACGAAAATTCGATATTCTCAGGCGATGTGTGTGGCTTCCCGAGTCGGGCGGAACTGCCAAGAAAAACGTTGGGACTAGTCTCCAGAGCGAAAAGACGCGGTTTTCGGTGCCAGGGGCGGGAATTTAGAAAAATACAGAAAAATAATTAGTATAAATATCAAAATGCTCTCCTCGAATATGATACTAGACATACCCAGCTACATTCTAGACGAAAATTCGATATTCTCAGGCGATGTGTGTGGCTTCCCGAGTCGGGCGGAACTGCCAAGAAAAACGTTGGGACTAGTCTCCAGAGCGAAAAGACGCGGTTTTCGGTGCCAGGGGCGGGAATTTAGAAAAATACAGAAAAATAATTAGTATAAATATCAAAATGCTCTCCTAGAATATGATACTAGACATACCCAGCTACATTCTAAACGAAAATTCGATATTCTCAGGCGATGTGTGTGGCTTCCCGAGTCGGGCGGAACTGCCAAGAAAAACGTTGGGACTTAGTCTCCAGAGCGAAAAGACGCGGTTTTCGGTGCCAGGGACGGGAATTTAGAAAAATACAGAAAAATAATTAGTATAAATATCAAAATGCTCTCCTCGAATATGATACTAGACATACCCAGCTACATTCTAGACGAAAATTCGATATTCTCAGGCGATGTGTGTGGCTTCCCGAGTCGGGCGGAACTGCCAAGAAAAACGTTGGGACTTAGTCTCCAGAGCGAAAAGACGCGGTTTTCGGTGCCAGGGGCGGGAATTTAGAAAAATACAGAAAAATAATTAGTATAAATATCAAAATGCTCTCCTAGAATATGATACTAGACATACCCAGCTACATTCTAAACGAAAATTCGATATTCTCAGGCGATGTGTGTGGCTTCCCGAGTCGGGCGGAACTGCCAAGAAAAACGTTGGGACTTAGTCTCCTGAGCGAAAAGACGCGGTTTTCGGTGCCAGGGACAGGAATTTAGAAAAATACAGAAAAATAATTAGTATAAATATCAAAATGCTCTCCTCGAATATGATACTAGACATACCCAGCTACATTCTAAACGGAAATTCGATATTCTCAGGTGATGTTTGTGGCTTCCTGAGCCGGGCGGAACTGCCAAGAAAAACGTTGGGACTTAAGTCTCCAGAGCGAAAAGACGCGGTTTTCGGTGCCAGGGACGGGAATTTAGAACAATACAGAAAAATAATTATTATAAATATCAAAATGCTCTCCTCGAATAGGATACTAGGCGTAACCAGCTACATTCTAAACGAAAATTCAATATTCTCAGGCGTTTTCAGTGGCTTCCTGAGCCAGGCGGAATAGCCAAAAAACGTTCAGACATACTCTCCACAGCGATGAGACGCGCTTTTTTGTGCATGTGATCAGATAAAAAAAAACTAAAAAATAATTATTATTATTATCAAAATACCCTCCTGGAATATGATACTAGACATACCGAGATACGTGAAATATGTAAATTAAATCTCCTTATCAATTTTTGTGCATTCCTCAGCCAGGGGCAACTGGGCGGAAAAATGCTCTAGCATAGGTCCCAGAGCGACAGATGCGATTTTTTGTGGGAGGGGCGAGATATCAAAAATTGCAGGAAAATAATATTTATGAATATTAAAAATTTTTTGCCGGAGAATTATAGTAGACATGCCCAGCTACATGCCACGTGGAAATTTTACCTCCTCATGCAATTTCTTCTAATTTCTTGACCTTATGAAAAAAGCACTGTATAATTTAGTCGGCAAAAAGGCGACAAGTAGCCTAACTCGCACTTTTTGCCTACTGCTTTGCCTTTTAACACTCCAGAAGCTTCCTTGAGGTTATAAATGCGAACTAGGGTGCCTTCATCTCCGCTTTAATAGGGGTGATGACATCTCTTGTAGTACCCGATGCCGACAGCACGTGCTCACAACGAGAATACAAAGACATACCTTGAAAAAAAAAATGGTGCCATAGCACAAGTAAAGCGCGCTCCTACCAAAGAATAAAAAGCACAGCGCCCGTATGAGAAATATTGCACCATTGTTGGTGACATAGTCACGTGACGATAATTTACGGGGGTCACGTGACCATCGTCCGTTGCGCCATATTAACCACGTAACCACAGTGAAAGAGTGGGCCAACGGAAGCCACAAGGTCGTGTGACCATGATCCGTGGGGTCATAAGAACACGGTCCGTGGAGTAACGGGAACATAACGCGCGGAGCGGGGGGGGGGGGGGGGGGGGGGAGGGGGGGGGGGGTTTCTCCGCCAGGTCTCCACGCGGGGAATGATATCGCATTTAAGGCCCACAGGTTGTCCAATTGTCCATGATGACAGCCAACTTTTTGCCGATCACGGGCGAGCGCGGTTCTTGTTGGTGGGCGGCCCCCCACCACCCGAAAAGTACAGAGGAAGCACCTAGAGCTCCCAGAAGTGTGTCAGTCAGAAATTGTGTAAAGTCGTCGATTTCTTTACTAGGATTTGGGCATGGTACATTAACCGCAAAATATTGTATTGGTTCATAATTGCTATCGACATGTATGGCGCTAAAATGAATTCATTTGTCCTTCGAAAAGAAGGATCTTGCTACCATGGTGCAATCATCAGAAATATATATTTCATTCTTTAAAATAGTAAAGATTTGCGAAATATTTTGGGCGTGAGATCTCTGCTGACCCAACCATGTTTAAACGCTATTGCCAGCCCTCGGTTATTAGAGAGCTTTAGACCTAGATAACTCAAAATTTAGCGTGAATTTCAAAATGCTCTCCTGGAATCAATTAAAGCTAAGATTAATAAAGCGATCGCATCTGACCTCAAGGTCCTGTGGCGACAAGCTTTTCTTCCTGGGAGCTGAATGTCATGGCCTCGTTTTCAATGGGAGTCTATGGGATTCGGTTTGTTGATTCGGGAAGGAAATGTAATGGTCGTGAGGCACTGAAATTCTTCAAATAAGCGGGCTATTAGATCAATATTTTGACCCCCCGAGTGCAATTAAATTTGTGGAGTTTTAACTGAATTACAAAAATAAAACTTTTTTGCCCATTGAGTTACGCTGGGGCGCTGACGTGACTGCCGAGAGATGGCGTAAGTTGCGAGCGGCGGCATGTCCCGGATTCTTGGGGTTGAGGCGTTCGAAGGCAACTGAGCACCGGACACCGGCGTTCCGCGTTCTAAAGCGTTCGACGCGTGCAGTGGAGACATATGCAGCTAGCCTTAGGTCTACCCACTAATCTTTCCAACCAGAGCTCGGCCTTCTAGCATCTTCACGCGCTCTCGTCTTCTCCTTTTTCTTAGTTTCTCGGCGCATTGAGGTCGTAAACTTTTCTCTATAGACTGCCTGCAAACTCTGGTTTTCAGGCGAAGTGTGGCAGGTTGAAAAACGCCATTGTCGCTTGCTACGTACAGGCGCTCGAGCAGTTTATAGAAGCTTTCATTCTGCGATTCGATGTAACAGCTCTATCTAAACCAACCTGTTCTGAAATAGTACATGGATACTGCTCTCTTGGGATCAGCTGCGCATCAATCGTGCCATCTAGGCTATTGATGGGCAGCTGCCAACTCGTAGCCGGTCCTGGGTTTGATCTTGGGACCTCATTATGACTGCTATAGTGGATCCCTCTGTACCAAACCATGCACGTTAGCCAGGCCTTGTGTCACTACCGGGCAAACAGATATTATCAGTGTCAGCCAGAATGTCAGACACGCAAAAGGGCCCGCAACAATGGTAGCGCGATCAAGAGGGGTAGTATAAGATCCTAATTGTTTTCTACATTTGCACAATACATCGACTGTACGCAATAATATTAGTAATAATAGCAATTATCAATTGAAACAATGATGATCGTACGAAGGGAAATGAGAAGAATGGGCGTTTGTGTTTTAGAGTGCCAATTAACGATACTTGTAGGCGCGGTACAGCGGCGTTCAGCGCGGAGAACAACACGAGACTGCGACATAAAAGAGGCGCCAAAATATCGGACGATAGGTTGAGATATTACGCACAGCCAATCAAATACAAAGTGATACTGCGCTGAATTATACTGCCAACGTTAAAATAATTCTAACGATCACTAGTCGAACGTGTGGGCGCGAAAAGCAGCAAGGACTACCGCGGGGAAGGCAGCATAGTACCACCGCGATCGCGCGGGAAACCTCCCCCGCGCGATTACTGCTCTCCTCGGCTGCTCCAGTGCAGAGAGCAACCTCGTAACAAAGCGGGGGCGACATTTGGCCGTAAAAGTCCGCTCGACAAAAGGCGCCCACCGCCGGGCCGAATCCGCGTGGTGGCCACTTTGACGTCATCGACGCCGGCCCAACTTGGCCCGACGCCCGCGTCGGGGCGCAACGGTGGCCGGCGCCGCCGCCTGGCGTGCCGCGGCGTTCCCCTCGTGCTGTGTTGGAAAAGCGAACGCGCGGGGACGGTCGCCAGTTCTCGCGTGGAAGTGCTCCGAGCCGGCCGCTCCGAGAGAGCTCGCCTGCTGCTCCGCGTGTGCTCCGAAGGGGGACTGCCTCGTGCAGTGTGTGGTGCCGGCGACAAGGATTTGCCGCGGCGGTGCCTGTGCGACGGTGTGTGATCGGTGCATCTTGGCGGAGCCGTCTTCCGGTCGTTGACTGAACGTTGCTGCGCCGTCGGTCCGAGCGGGGTTCGCCGCTTCGTCTGGAGCCTCGTGACAGTGGATACGGCGTCGGGGTCCTGACTGCGTGAATTAGGGTGAGTGCCTTCTGTCTCACACCTCACGCACCCGACTTCGAACTTTGACTCGGCTTTCAACGAAAAAAAAAAAAAAGACAACCGCGACAGGCAAGCGGGAATCCTTTCTTCGCGTGCAAAACTAGATACGTTCTAAACGGACCATATCCAAACAAAACTTTTGTGACTGCAACGCAGGTTTTTTGCGGCAGGATGCCACAGCGTCGCTTCTGACCACAGCAACCATATGCAAGTCGGTGTCGTCCATGCCACTTGAAAACGTGTCTTGCTCACAGTGTCGGACATTTCGAATAGGCCAATATGAATAAGTATGGAACACATTATAACAGTACTTATCATAATGTATCAACGCGTATCTTCGTTCTACGATGGCGACGCAGCGACAAAGGCACGAACATAAAACGAACACGAACGCATGTTACGTAAGAGGAGCATCAGACCCCTCTAACGTAGCTTTTCGTTCCTCTTCTCAAGCAAACATTTTCGAATTACGGACTCATTTTCAATCATAGCACGGAACAAACACGATAGCGACTCACATCAACAGCTTTGTTTGTCCCAGGAGCGCTTCCGCTTCCTTTCGCCCTCCTAAACGATAACGACAAAACGAACCAAGGTTCGCACGCGGCTCCTCTTGCTTTTCGACATCGAGGAACCACGAAGTGCCATCCGGTCCGCTTCAGTCGGAACAAAAAGCGAAGCTGCGTCATCTCCAGTCTCGGGTGCGCCGTTCGCCGCAGCGCAACCAACCCCCACGCCGCGTCACGTATCGGTCACGCTCTCAGCCGCATCTCGGCTCAATGGGCGCGCACGTGCGCCCAAAAGAGCACGCGCCTCCGTCGCGTACAGTCGCGCGAGCACGCGTTCACGCCGGTGGAGGACATTACCCAAGCTACCCCCCCCCCCCCGAGGGCAGCAACAAAACAGCGCGGGTGGCGCGTGCCCGGCCGACCGTTCGCACCGGCACCATAAAGAGGGCTCAGTTTCGGCAGCTCTCTCGGGGGCCTCCCGCCGACGGCGGGTCGCTCGAAAAGAACACCGCCACGGTTGCGACCCCCGGGCTCTATCGGGATCGACGACGGCGACAAATGACCAGATAAAGCGAACGAGGCAGATACCGCGAAAGAGAAAGCGAGAGGGAGGCCAGGGTCAGACGGGGGCGTTCTTTCTTTGCGCAACCCCCCCTCCCCCCGCTGCGACAGTTGGCGATTGAGTCTGGCTCGCTTCTCAAACAAATCCGCGGTACGATTCGTGGCGGTCGGGGGGAACTCGGGGGCGCCGAGGGTCCAGCGGCACGGGCGATCTGCTCGGCCGGATGGGAAACACGGGAATCGCATCTGGCGTCCCAGCCATCGCACGAGTCGTCCATCTATCCTCGATGTGTGCGTGCGGGCGTGCGCTGGACTGGCGCGGTTTGTGTGCGTGCGTTGAAAGATATAAGAGCATCGCGTCGAACCGTTGAAACGATAAAGTGCGGTCTCTGATCGGGAAATGGCTATGCACTCGGGGTCGTTATGTAACGAGAGTACCACTCTGGGCGCTGCGCTTTCCCTTTTGGTATTGTTACGAATCGTTATTTATAGCTTCGGATAATCTCGGGCACGAATCTTCTTCGAGTAACGTCCGCTTTTTTTTTAAAGAAGTGAAATGAGAAAAGAAAGACGGGTAAGATGCCTAAACAAAATCAAATAGCGTTCAGGCATGGAATAATGTACTCGGCGTCATTTCTTTTCTTTTAATGTTCGATTTTTAGTTACGCAGTTGTTGTTATGATGCTGCTTACAGGTCAGTGAGCCTGGTAGCGGAAGCTAAAGCTTTATAAAGCTAAAATGTGCTTTCGACAACAAACTTGCTACAAAGAAAAACAGCGTGAAAACGATGACAAAGTAAAAGGTAACCAAAGGACACAGTGCTGTGTCCTGTAGGATACCTTGTCCTCGTCCTTTCGCTGTTTTCGTTTTTATTATACCAACTAGTCCAAAGTTCAACGTTAATTGAGAATATACTCTAGTGAAAGAGTCAGTCTAAAAGAATACTGATGAAAATATGTAACAATATCTGTCAAATGAAGAAAAATAAATACACAAACAAAGAGGATTGGATACCAAAGAAGCCGAGCTTTAGTTTACCTCGGTCTTGGGTTTTTTCCATCATGAACAGGCCACAACGTGGTCATAAGTTTGCGACACATAATTAACAAAGCACATGGTAAAAAAAAAAAAAAAACTTAATACACGAGGCACGTGACCAAAAGTAAAAGTGCGCGCATCGCACTCATTCATGTCACTTGTGGTCGTCCTAACGCTAAGCGAGTACCAATTTACATTTTATTCCGATAATAAGAAAAAAAGAAATCTGTATTTTTTCCGGTCAACAATCTTTATACATAAACCATACATCGTAACGACACGTTAAAACAGCGCACAAGCAGAGAGGAAGGGAACACAATGCGCTGTTTTCTGTTGTCTTCCTATTTCGGCTATTTGCTTGTGCGCTGTTTTAATGTGTTGTCATTATACCAACTACATCCACTCACTACACATCTACATACATTAAGCACGTTTCCTGGTCAATCTAATACGTCCCTTGTGCAGATGGGTTCGGTAATGGTTATCGAAAGTCGAAACTATCACAGGAGACGTTTCTTGATCTCCTCCAGACACGCACATGAACATGTGGCAGAGACAAGACCCGCCGGAGAGGAAGCCTCTGGGAACAGAGTCGATAAAAATTATATAAAATAGTGGGCCACTCCATTTTTTTATTTTTTCCCCTAAAACGATTGATCAACATCATGTGTCTCATGACAGAACTAAGCTCATAGTCCATCCTAAAAAAGAAAAAAAGCAAGGGAACAAAACGAAGAAAGGCACTTGAAATATGGGAAGAATCCTATATACGTTCGGACTCGACACTTGCGGGCCATAAAAGTTAAAGAACAAACAAAAAGAAAGAAGAAAAAAATTGCTGCAATGCATTCGACAACGTTGACCTGTCTATATACAGTTCCGAAAAGAGCATTCCATGTGTACCAAAATATCCACCCCTAATGGGTATGTTTTCGCAGCGCCGGTGAGCGCTAAAAATGACCCCGGTCGGCGACGCAAGGCTCGGGACGTATTTAATGAAAGCAAACCTCGCCGTCCGGAATCCCTGTGGGGCACGCATGTCGTACACGGAGCCAGATCGAAGCCGTGTCCAATTATAGAACACAGTTTCCAAAGATGGCTCGATTATAAATCAACCGATAAGTAAAAAACATTGAGCTGCAGCCTTCATTATAACGAAAACAAAACAAAAAAAATCTGGAAGGTAGGCCCAGTAATATCAATATACAAAACAAACTGCCGAGTTATTATTGGTTGGTGCTTACTGGTGCTCTACAACACTTGAAAGGTCGTGAGGCTATAGACCGTTTGCGTTGTGACGGATGCCGTGCTGAAATATGACGTAGATAGGTTGGGCGACAAAAACTAAATAGTTTCAGCATAACTACAGAAAAAAAAAAAATAGGTATAGCCAAGAGAAAAGTAGAACCATTGGCACAAACCCCTTCAATTCTAGCGCCTTCCAATCGGAAAATCAAGTGATTTGCTATTTTGTCCCAACTTAGCTAGGTCAAATTTCAACATGGCCGGCCGCCACGAAAAAGAAGTCTATTCGCGATTTCTGCGAACTATAGGTGGCGCGCTGGTCAGGCGAAATGGCGGACGAAAGGATTTCGTTTTCGTCGTACAGCACGCGAACCCCCAACAATTTCTTGCACTGCAGCGTAAAATCGTGTTACACATGAAAGCAAAGCGATCTTTCGACGGTAGAAACCTTCTTCTAGTCAGTGCGTAGGAATGACACGGCGGAAGCATACAAATAATTGCTGGAAACGATGTTTGTTTTTCTGCTGTCTACGAGAACCGAGCAGCGATAGCAGACGACGGAGTCGAAAGGACCTCCTTTCCTGAGCTTCTCGGCGTTCCCGCTACGCGACGTCGGTTTCGCTGGATTCGCTGAAACACAGAGAGTGAAGTACCAGGAAATGGATACAGTGTGCACTGCTTGTGGAGAGGAGGACGAGACGGCTGAGCACTTGATACTCTACTGTAAAGGGCTTCACCCGATGCCTACCGAAGACAACATAGATTTAATAAAGTCATTGGGTTTTAGAGACAGCGAAGGGAGAGTGGATTTCAAGACTGTAGAGATTACCAAGCAAAGATTAAGTGAATGGTGGCAGAAATCGAGAGAAAACTAGGTATTTTCTTAATCACTGATGGCAAGGGGGTTTCATAGCCGCACTTTCTTCGCACTGCGGAGTGAATATAGATTTCACATTTAAATATTCTAAGCTTAAATGGTAAAACAAAATGGCTAGGTGGCGCAAGTTACCGCCCGATCGAAAGGGCTCAGCCGGATTCATCCATCTATCCATCCATCGCCAATACTGTGTCGCGAATATTTCAAATGTCGAGCAGCCGAACGACAGTTAATAGACCGATCTCACTAAGCGTTCGGCGCATGCGTGACGCAGCCATAACTTTAGTTCATAGGAGCCAGACGGCCGTGCATGCGAGGGCTCGTGCCGTTTCGTGCTCCACACGCACAGAGTTCCAACGAGGTTGTGGCACGTGCAGAAAGATTAAAGTTCCCTCGATGCATTGCGGCAGCGGTGGCGTAGCCAAACTGGCTGGTGAGACCGGTGTATTAGCTTGCGTGTAACGTCATTCGTGGCCATGCCAGTATTCTATGCTGCGCCAGCGTTCGGTTCGCCGTGTTAGCTTCACACCGCAGAGCTTGTAGTCAGAAGAAACCATTAAGCAGAAATAACCGTCAGTACCCAGCGATGTCGACACTTAGAAGCTATTTATAGTAATCACACTCGTCACCCAGGCAAAGAATGCCGAGCCACTGCGCTGTGGGCGGATGCTCGATGCCTGATGTTTCCCAAAAGAAAGCTATTGTGCCTGCTCTGAACGTCTTCCGCAGTTCAGTAGACAAATATTGCA